CGTTATGCGATCTCATACTGAACAGTTGGTTAGTGTACTTAAACCATTCTTATACGATCCTTTAGTCATGTGGACTGGTCGTGACACTATAGTTGATGAAAATTCTGAGATGGCAAATGATCAAGTAAATATATTTACTATTTCCATTAGTTTTTATAATTTTATATATTATAAAATCAATGTTATTACTTAAAAGTAAGGTCCAGATTTTTAGGTTTTTATGTATCATTACTGAGCTTAATAATATGCTCTATGCCAGAGGTTCCCAAACTTTTTATTGTACAACCCATTTTGAAAATTTTTTAAAATATGTCGACCCACAATATCAATGAATGGCCTTTTTTTTTTCCATACAACAGAAAATTAAACTATTTTATTAAATTTTATGTAATTACGAAAAAAAAGTATAGTAAGTATAATATATAGTATTTGACACGGCCACTAGTAAACTCATAATTGTCACACTTACAGATAAGGATTGATGATAAAACTGAATTTGAACTTTGAACTTCTGAACAATAGATGATTATATTTTTGTATTATTTAAAAAAATAGCGCGACCCACTAAAAGTATAATCGCGACCCAAAAGTGGGTCGCGACCCACAGTTTGGGAACCTCTGCTCTATGCTATTTTATATGAGTAAAAAATATGGATGATTCGTTCAATACAGAGCTTACAGAAAAGTTTTTTTTAATGTTTGAGAATATTTTAAGGGTTAGGGAATATTTAGTTTCTTTAGCATATTAATATCTTAGAATATTTTGTAAATTGTGAGAAAGAAATACTTAAATTATGTTTTAATTTTTAATTATTATTGTAATTTAAATTTTTTATGTCGTTTACCAATAAAATAAAAAAAGTATATTTTTCTTTTATGTTCCAATGAATTTGTATTCTATTTTCATAATTAATTATTAGTTTCTATCTTGTAATGATTTATAAGTATGTTTATTTTTTTAGAATATAACCATCATGTTTAAACTTTTTTTGAACCAATAAATCTGGATCCTATTCATAAGTAGTATTAATTCATGTATTTATTATTTATAAAAAATATTATTTAATGGTACTAAATACATATGTATCTCTTTAGGCTAAAGAACATTTGAATAATATTGAAATGCGTCTTCAGGGATATGTAAGAGCTAATTTAAAAAATTCTTCCATGCCACTTTCAGTTGCAGGACAAACACGTAAACTTATTGAAGAAGCCATTTCTATTGATAATTTATGTCAAATGTATATAGGGTGGAGTGCATTCCTGTGATACTAGTGATAATATTAAGTGTTGTTTTATTATTAATTTACTACATAAGATTTATTCTATTTTAAGTTATTTCAAATCAAATTTACACATTGTTAATTTTAAGTAATTAATATTATGATTGCATTGGCACATTTATAAGAAATTTTTTTTTACTTTTTTTATTTTTAATAAATGTTTCCAATAATTATTGTTACTCTTCTACATTAAACATATTTCAGCCCGAATTGTGCTCACACTAGATTCTTAAACTTTATTGAGTACCCATGTACTATGTTTAATAATTGCTTTATGTATATTTTATTGAGTGTGTCGTGTGTGTTTAAAAAATGTATATTAGCGGTTTTGTTTATAATAAGCGTGTCTACAGTGGCATTCTAGGGTGCTAGGACTGCCCCTGCAATTTTCGAAAAGCGATTTTCTCGGCTTTATTTAATGTTTAAAGGTACTGAAAATACTGTAGATTATTAATTGTGAATATATAATACAGACTTTTCAAAAATCTGGCCGAGTGATGCAGGTAAAACCTATAAACCTATAGACCTATAAACTTTATATAGGACCATACACCACAACCAAACAAGCGACGAGTGTATGGAAAGTGTAACAACAAAGAGGATGATTTTTGTTTACTCTTTTACTCAATATGTATCTTAGGTAATGCGGGGTAGTAGGGTAAGATATATATATATATTTTTTTATTGATCCCAATTACAACTCGGCAGCATAGGCCATTAGTCAACATGCTTTAATTACTATTTACAATTATTATACATTACATTCTTAATTTAACATAATATGTCTGGTCTGTTAGATTAGTTAATTTTGGACATTTCATGATTTTGATCCGGGGTGGGTCCGAAGGTTGCTTTAAGAGTTTCAGTAATGTTGAGGTCCATTAGCTCCTGTTCATACCGCTGGCATTCTGTCAGGATTTGTTTAACAGTGAGTCGTTGGCCACAACTTTTGCAGCTGGGGAGGTTGGTTTTTTGTCATGATCTATCCATGGGTTAGCCCGGTATGTCCGATTCTTAAAACGATTTAGGGTGGTTGCGCCCTTTCGATTGAGCTTAGGATTATCGTATCAGTAGGTTGATGTCTTGATTTGGTTTAGTTTTGTGGTCTGTTCATTCCAGGATGTATGCCATTTTTTCGTTATATGGTTTTCAAGGAATTTGTAGTCTCCATAGGGCAGTGAGCTTATGATTGGCGTATCGTTGTTGGAGACGTCAATTTCGGCATATTTATCCGCAGTTTTGTTATCAATAATACCGGTATAACCTGGAATCCATACCAGTATAATTTGTTTTTTTTTATTTGTGGCTTCATCAAGTTTGTTTTGGATGAGGATTGCGATGTCGCTTGGGTTGGTTTTATTTTTAATACTATTTATGACGCTAAGAGAATCGCTAAGAATTAGAAACCTAGTGTGCAGTAAGGTGTTAATTACAGTGCCGCATTTAGACATTTTGCGCCCCGGTGCAAAAAAAAATTGGCGCCCCCTAGGCTCCGGTGAAAAAAAAATTGCTTCACCCACGGAAAATATGTGAGATAGATCCTCATTAACCTTTTAGATTTTGAGTGGAGTAAAGAATATTTGTTTTACGAGTGCTTTTAAAAAAAAAATATTGTTTAGTAATTGCTTGATCCCTCCACAAAAATATATTGGAATTTATGTCACTTGAACCTTGCTAATAATTCATCATATAAGTTGTGTTTTTTAACATATTTAAGTAGGTACTTCATATCTTCATGAATAAATAAAATAAAATTATATACAACTATGCAAATAAATATTTTATATTTTTTTGTGTATACTATTTTATAAAATCAATGTAAATATATACAGGGCTAGAAGTGGTTAAAGCTATTTAAAAAAGCGATAACTGAATTTATTCATAAAAGTGACAAAAAAGTGACCTGCATAAATTTGTTTCATAACAACTTACCATGTATTAAACATTAATTATCTTTGAATCTCTACATAGGTGATAGGTACCTATAATTTAATTGATTCTTACTTACTTAATTTTGTGGAAATTACAAAAAATAATGATTATAATAAACAAAACCTTAATAGTAAAAAATTAAATAATATTACCTATTTAAATTAATAATGTTTATAATATAGAATAATATTCAAGATCATTGTTTAGGAACTTCCTTTATTTTAATCATAAGTACAAAACTATATTATAATATAATATTTAAATTAATTGCCGCACACGATAGTCGATAGCAAAATACGCCGTATTATTATAAATAACTGATGTCCATTGCCATAATCACAACAAGTTTGGGAACTATTAATAGGTGTATTAATAATTATCGATCGCTGATAGCTATAGCCTATATTGCTATAAATACATTGATTGTTTAAATAATACATTTCAAATGGCATAGTACTTGGTATATAATATAATACTATAATACAAAATTATATTATATAATAATCTTATAAAAATAATTTAAACTATACAATTTAAAAAATTCATAAGTAAAGAAATTTCTGACCACAAAATTTTGGCGCCCCTAAAATACTGGCGCCCGGGGCAGTTGTACCCAGCGCCCCCCCTTAAATGCGGCCCTGGTTAATTAGTTCTATTGCTTTTAGAATTGCTAGTGCTTCGGCAGAGAATATTGAACACTCATTTGGAAGTTTGAATATTAAGTTATTGTTTTCGAGTATGATTCCTATTCCAACCCCATTCTATATCTATTTTTTTACATGATTTCGTAACTGATTTAGAGTTATTTGGTAAGTGTTATTAGTTAAATGTGGGTCAATTGATTTTAACATACCTACTCCTTTCATCACTATGAGGCTATTTATTATGTATTTTAAATCTATAGATGTATTTGTGGTCCTACTACTTTTACACAATTTACCTTGCCCTAATATTTCGCACTGTACCTAATCCCGGACTCTTGATGGTAATAACTAAGAGCGAGGTTGAAAATTTATCGTCTTGATTTTTACGAGAAATAATGCAATTTATCAGCAGCAGCACGCACATCACCCCGGCCCCACTCATTTGGAATTTTCGAAAATTTTCTTTACCAATATTTAGTACGTAATTTGTATGAATTTGTACGATCATCCTTCGGCGGCAATCGCGAAAAATCCCGTAGCGAAGTTACAGTGTTATTGAATTGTTCGCTGTTATATTTTTGGTCCGTTTTTTTCATGTTTGAATCAATGTATATAATAGACAAGCAATGTTTGAGTGCGTCTGACTATGTCCTATTTTTTTGCATTTTTGATAATTAAGAGCTAAACTATACATTGACGTACGCATCACTCGGGGTCCGCGATCTACCGCAGAATGATTGCCTACCTTAATATACTGTTCGCATAATCACAAAAACCTAGTAACAGCAACTCATTGCCGTGTCCAGCTAGTTAATGATATATTATTTTATAATATTTAATACTTTATTACGAACTAATATTGTAACTTATACCATATTGTACAATTCATATTGGTGTTCAAATTTAATTGTATTATTATTGATCATTATCCGGGACGGTTACAAGTTACAACTAACAAGTGAAGTAGTATCGATTTTTATATTCTCTACATCGTAATTATTACCTGCATGGCCGCATGTTGTACATAAAACGTAAGATGTATGTTTGTATGCTAAAAATTACGCGCATTAAATTTTGAGAAAAGGACAAATTTAACAATGAAGTTTTAAAACGTTTATTAATGTACAATCTAATCCATTACCTTTATGTATGAATATTAAATTGTGCAAATCGAAAATTCGCAAGGTACAATTGTGTTTGATTTTACTTGGTTTAGATTTTAAGTCGTAAAGTTCCCAGTTGCTTGTATAGTTCCGCTTGCAGTGAGACTGGTAATGTCCAAAGCCGCAATCGACTCACCCGTGCTTGTGTGAACATATACCCCTCAGTTCATACTTTATATTGTTTAATGTTATGACTGGAGGTACATCGGCTAAACGTACTTGGACCTGTTGTGCAATCTCTGTACTGTAATCCTTGTCGACTGCATCTTCTGAAGTATGATTAAATAATCATTTATAACTAACAAACTAATATATGTATAATTTACAGTAACTTCAATATACCTTAGTAAGCTCAATGAACTGAGCTCAATAAACTGCAGATGAATCGATGAAGGAATTGGATCAATACTTTTTAATCCGTTACATATTTTCTCTCTTGTGTCAACATGATGACACGTGGAATTTTCGCTTAATATTCTGTTCCGTATATCTTCCTCAAGCGAATTTAAATTACCATTTACAATATGCATTGTTATATAGGGCACAGGTATTGGACATTTTGTTGTTTTATTACAAGAGGATATAGAGCATTTGATGTTGTCCAATACTGTAGGTAACTCAATCAATAATTGTCTAAAAACATTGCCAACTATTGTGTCACATACTGCTAATATTGTATTGTATTCTAAATGTTCCATTCGAGGTTCTAAGTATTTTATCTATAAATTAAAGTAGGTATACTAGTGAATGAATAAACATTTTATTTTCAGTAAACGTATTATATAAAATATTACTAATTGATTGATATAATATAATAGCATTATTTATGTGTTTGGATGTAATTTATATTATAAAAATTAATTTGTAAATAACAATAAGTTGATTTTTTCAGTATTTTTCAAAAATTGACTTTTTTTTAATACATTAATAGAAGTCAGGGGTAGTGGTTCCCTGCCATTTTAATTCTACTCCCCTTTTGTAAATTTTCAAAATCTCAAGCCTTTTTCTAACTTAATAAATACAGTAAAACTCGCTTAAGACGCTTTTTAAGGGACAAGCTCTTTGGAGCGTCTTTCCCGCGGGAAAGCGTTTTATGCTAAAATGAAAAAAAATAAGTGATTGAAATATTATGGAGTTAATTTTTTTATTAATGAAAATAATTTAACGGGCAATACACTTATAAATTAACTATAGTTACATATATGTATACATTTTTTAACTATTGAATTAAAAAATTTACAATTTAAATATTTTACAATTGAGTATTTTATTATAGTTTATTAAAAAAATATCTATTTGTTTGCTTAGGATTCTTACAATGCGTTTCACCAAGGAAGTTTTCTATTTTGTTAAGACAACCCAACATTTCTTCGAAATTTTCTACTGAGGATAATACTTTTCGAATTTCTGATAGATGTTGCAAACTAGCAGTAATTGTAGGAGGATATACTGTATTGTCTGGATCTTCTTCTTGATCGTCGTATTCTTTATCATTCTCCGCTAAGTTAGTATCAGCGATTATTTCATCTAAAGTCCGAGTGCTACTGGTTACGAGTTCGTCATCAACTGTTACATAATCAGCAAAATTTTGCAGTAGCTGAAAATCCTCTTCTAAAACTGAACTATCAGCTAGTTCTGCAGAGTCGTTCAACATACCAAATCCAGCTTTCCGGAAACAGTTTATTATTACATCTGGTTTAATTTCATCCCTTTGTTCTATTCCGTGTCTATTTTTCAACACACTTCTTAATGCAGAAGGAGGTATCCCCAGCTCATTAGCAATATCCTTTTATTTTTTTTCTCGATCAATCCTTCATCGTATTTTTTCAAAATGTTGAGTTTCTCCGAAATCGACAGCACTTTACGTTTTATACCACGCTAGCCATAACGATATAACGATTGTACACTTGCGAACGAACTGCACTTACTAAACCTCGTAATACGATAAAATATAGTACAACATTTATAATAGGTAATGATTGCGATAAAATAACACGAAAAGAACTCGTCAACTGGTAAAATTTCTATTTTTAGTATAAAAAACCTACTAAAATTTATTGTAATCTGCTGAACAAAAGAGCGTTTTATCCGATACGATAGACAAAAATCGAGCAAAAATTGGAATTACAAAAAATATTTTTAAAACTGTCATCTCAGTTAGGTACTCCTTTTTTCAATTAAAATTGCATGTACGTCATCAACTCGTTCATAACAATAAGATAAATCGATATTGACTTTTTGTAATATAGGTAAGGTTAGAAAAAATATGTTTTCAATCACGTGTAAAGAAATTAAAAAATTCGAAGCGCTAATGGCACTAGATAAATTGTTTTAAAGCATGGTAAATGCTCAAATACAACTCTTTGAAACGAGTTATACTCTCGTGACGTTTAATCCAGCGAGTTTCACACATTCATATTAAAGTTAACTGGTGACTATCATAAACATATTTTTTAATATTTTCAATTAAAATTCATGATTTCTGTGAAGAAGCTCGAAAAAATGTAGTGACTAAGGAAACCGTTCCGATACAATTTCCGAAAAACATAACTTTGCATGAACTACTTATCGCCAAGTTCAGTGAGTGAGCTGCGCAATGAACATACAATGCATATGGCACCTCACCTGTGATATATTTTTGAACACCTTTGAACTCCCCGCTCATAGTTGCGGCCCCATTATATCCTTGTCCCCTTGTCCGACAAGATATTGTTTTTCTAAACCAAGTTTTTCAATTTGCTGCATAATTGTTTTAGATAAACCTTCACCAGTCAAATTTTCTGCTACCACAAACTCAAGAAAGTTTGTTGAGATATCAACATAACGCACACAAATCGACATTTGCTCCAATCGGGAAATATCTTGAGTTACATCCACTAAAATCGAAAAATACTTTGATGCTTTAATTTTTGATATTCTATTTTCTTGTATTATTTCTCCGCATATTTGTATTTAAGTATTTTGAATATAAGGACTTGTATAAGAAGCAAATGTAGTCGAATTTTGTAAATGGTTTTTCAATGTAGAATCTGTCTGCGCTTTAAATCTTAATAAATCTTAATATAACGATAAAAAATTGCCGTCATTTACTAAAGAATCGTTGTCATATATGTGACCCGTGTTGCGATTGTCCCTCAAAGCGATGTTTTGGTGAGTGGTGACCACATAATATAATTGTTTCTATAATTGAAAAAAGTTTGGTTTTTAACACTTGAATACAAGAATCAATTTCATTTACGATAGAATATTTTTTATTTTCCATTATTTTTATAAAATCGTCGGCCCGCATAATGGATAATTTATGATATTCACTATTTGAATGTTGGTTAAAACGTTCGATTGCGTCTTTCCATTTTGTAAAAGGTACAGAGCTCCCAATTTTTGATGTGAACCTTTACCAGCAAAAGCATTCGAACACAATACGCAAGTCTTACATGATGCACCTTCAATATGTTTGTAATAAACTAACCAATCAGTTTGAAATTTTAAACGTTGGTATTGAGAAATAGGAAACTCATTACTCATAATTACTAGGTGGAATCCACGGGTGCTTTAATAATTTATACTTTCTAGGCTTCTAGCGTCATCAATTGCATTGTTATTTAAATAGAAACCTATGTCTTGATTGTGACTATCAAATAAGCCCTCTGATGAAGAAAAATAGGAAGAAACTTACCCTTCGTTTTCTGTGGTACTTACAGTTGTATTGCTATCCGGTGCATTTATTAAATCTTTTTTTAATTTTTTGACACCGAAGTTTAATAATGTCGATTGATTAGAATTAATTCCTTTCATTTTTTATAAAGTTTTACCACGCATTCAAACTTACACTTAAACTTATGAACGCCAAATACACGTTTAAGTTCAACGTCGACAAGACGACTGACGAGTGTCAAACATATACTAAATTGACAAAAAGCATTTCAGATATTATTTTATCGTTATCGCATCGGCACTTCCGTCAAACTTCGTTCATCGTTATTCGTTGCTATTGTAATAAAAATGATATCGCCATATCGGCTTGCATCGGGGTTTCATTTGAAATCTATATTTATTTTGATGTGATGGTCATGTAGTAGTCCGATTGACGATTGTAGATACTGATTGAGCACTAAACAAAAATTTAATTCATATTACGATGGCAATGCGGGAAATTAAAAAATACCAAAAAAAAAAATAACAACACTTATTTCCTGAAATTTCGGG